TAGCTTATATATATAAAATATATATATATATACTTACGCTATACTATGCACTAAGTATAAGTGTATTAGGTAATGTTATATCGAATATAGCTTATATATATATAATATATATACTTACGCTATGCTATGCACTAATTATAAGTGTATTAGGTAATATTATATCGAATGTAGCTTTTATATATATATATATATATATATATATATATATATATACACTTACGCTATACTATTGTCACGCCCCCAAACCCGGTCGTGATGGCGCCCAACAATATTGCTAGGCAAGCCAGACCACAATCGTTCCCAAATTAACCGTAAACCTCGAACCTACAATCTAAAGAGATTATAATGGTTTTAGAATAATAATCCAATATTTATAATAGAATAATACTGAGAAAAACACGAAGTCCGATAAAACGCTCCCAAAGACCTGGAGTCACGAGTCTAGAGCCTCTAAAACAATCTGAATAACAATATCTGAATGAAAATACTCAAGTCTGGAAATGTTTATATAAATAAAACTGAAATAGGAAGAGTAGTCAGGCCCTGCGAACGTCAAGCAGCTACCTCAATAACTCTGATAAGCTCTGGGAAACAAAGACTGCTCAGCTAAGCCTCCGGTGTACCTGAATCTGCACACAAGGTGCATGGAGTAGGGGTGAGTACTACCGACTCAGTGAGTAATAAGCATATAAAAATGTCTGAAGATAAGAAATCCACGAAATGCCACAAAGCAAAGCTAAAACTAACAGTCCAACACCTAACTACGAACTAACAGCAAAACAACTTCAAATATATCAGTCAAGTATAGTGTAAAGATGCAATGCAATACACATGACCGCTACGGCACGTAGCCCGATCCATTTAACGTCGATGGCGCTCACTGGGGGTGTGTACAGACTCCGGAGGGGCTCCTTCAGCCCAAGCACAATATAATCATACCATTCGCTGCGGCGTGCAGCCCGATCCATACTCAGTCCACAATATGCATATGAGTCACGTAACAGATTCAATTAATTTTCTAATTTTCAATTTATTAAGAAGAATATACTTTAGATATTTAACTTCAGGAAAAGTGACTTAGCGTTTCATAACAGTGATT